AAAAACCAAACACTCACACCCCCCTCCTTTCCCGCTACCTTCCTCCCCCCCCTCCTAAAGGTGCAATCTGGGGTTACTTCTGTAATAAAGATAACTTTGAGTTCTTTGGAGAAGCACTTAGCAGTATAACTTACGTCATATAGCAGAGTGCCTGTCTGGTTGGTGATCGACTGCACAGGTGGGCCAGGGAATGTGGGGATTCGCTACTACAAATCTGTCTGCTGCTTTCACCTGGTGAAGGGAAGGAGGATGTCCAAACAGATGGCTGAAGACTGTTGAGCGGGGTTTGCCACAGGAGAGAAAGGATTCCTAGCTGGGTTCTCTGCACCTTGTACATTTGCCCATTCGAGGCACATTAGAAGGGTTGTGAAGTAGAGCATTTTGGTTTTGAACAAATCAGTGAAGACTGGTTACTTTTTCCTCATTTCATCTTTCTATTTAAAAGAATTAAGCACATCTCTGCTTCTTGTTCCTGTCCTTTCCCATGTGCTGTCCTGGCATTTGTGTATCCCTGAGTTAGTGGGATTGTGCTAACCATTAATTCAGTACAACTGAGGAGATAAGAACTAGATTTTAGTTTCCTGTTCCTGACCCTGTTACCAAAGTTACTACCCATGGTGAATGTTGTCAATCAGCTGCTTCTATGAGTTGCCATCTTTCACCTTTGCCCCAACCTGTTTATGACCATCCTCCCTTTTCCATTCAGCGCTCCCGTTCCAGTCCCTTGCAGTGTAGAGTGGGTAAAGGTGAAGCGTAGTGGGTATGATAATTCGCTTCTGGTTTTCATTTTTTATTTATTGACTTTCTTACTGGTTGCTTTCAGATCAATCAATGGTAGAGTTGATAACAGTCTTCCTAAAAACTTTGTCCCAGTCTTGACTGGGTGCCTTAAACTGATGGGTCTGTTAGTGCCTAGAATTACTGTGGCTTTTCTGGAGCAGTTCAAGTGTACAAGAGGCACTAAAGAAACTGGATAAAGGTCATTGTTTTTACAGTTGCTTTTTTTAATCAGAGCCCAAACATTAACACTAACCTTAAACTGTACTAAAATAGCTTGGATGGTTTTTTTTATTCCTAGCAGCTCTCAGTAACCATGCAGCTGAGTTCTGCTCTCAGCTAATCCTCCAACCAGGAAAGGAGTTACCAACAGCACAGCATGATGGTAACTAAATTTAAAGTCTGACCCAAGTCAATGTGCAATCTGATCTCTGCTGTGCAGGGGGGAAAAAAACAAGTTTCTTTTTGATATTGCAGGTGGTTCAGTCTTACCTGATCTAGCAATGAGAATTAATTTTGTTTCTTTAAATTTAAACTTTCTGTCTGTCTTTTTTGTTTGCTTGTTTTGTTTTTTGAGAGGACATTTTTATTTCTGCATGGAGGCATAGTGAAGAAAAAATCTGGTACAGGCTGAGCTAGCACTTCACAGTGCTGAAGCGCTGCTTGTATTATTAGTAATGCTTGGGATTCCGGCAGTTCTTCTGCTTGCAAATTAGATCATACAGCCATGACATAAAATTTGGATCTGCCTAGGCCTCATGTCACAGGATCTTGATTTTACAAGTTTTGATAACTGTTCCCCAACATTAAGAAATACTAAGAGACTCCCTAAACCACGATAAGTAGGTAGTTATTGTGAGTTGATCTACAAGGTGTTTGGCAGGGGCAAGGAGGTTGTCTTACAAACACTTTTATTCACCTGTTGTTCTGTAGCAAAGAAAGAAAAAGTGGTTAAACATTTGTCTTTAACAAATGTTGTTACAGCTTACTAAATTACATTTAAAATGCATTTGACTTTATCCTGGAAAACTTGGAAACTGTTTATTTTTCAGGGGCATATGCCAACAGTTCAGCTCTTAAAGAAGTATGACCTTATGCAGTTTGCTGAAGTAACAAAGGCTGTGAGGTATGGTGATTATTTTATTGTGGTGTGCGTTAGTTCAAAAAGTATTAAGTAAAAGGTATTTATTTGGGATGATTGAGGAAGGCAGGGGAGGGATATTGCTGCCAAGTCAGACAATTTCTTTTCATGTTTGAGTGAGACCTTCTCATGTTCTCATTTCTTCTTCCTGGCAGTGAAGGCAATCTTCTCCTACTGAATGATGCTCTGACAAAGCATGAGACCTTCTTTATTCGATGTGGAATCTTTCTTATCCTTGAGAAGCTGAAGATCATCACGTACAGAAATCTCTTTAAGAAAGTGTAAGCATAACAAAACCTACTTTTTTGCAAAAGCAGATTTAATATGGTTTCACCTAGGACTGAGAAACATATATGCTGCTTAGTTCTTTCTGAGAGAGCTGAATTCCTTTTAAAGTGAGTTTATTGTAGAAAGGCCATTTTTCTAAGAACTAGAATTTTAAGTGATTGTTTCTCAATAACATTTTTTTCCTGTTGTTCCTTTCAGATATTTACTACTCAAAACCCATCAGCTATCTCTAGATGCCTTTCTGTTTGCCCTGAAATTCATGCAAGTAGACGATGTTGATATTGATGAAGTCCAGTGCATTTTAGCTAACCTTATATACATGGTATGTGCTGACCACTTGTTGTTTGGTCCTTCCAGACTTCCGACAGTAAAAAAATACTGGGTAGAGAATAAAAGTTTATTAGAAAAAAATGTCAGGTTTTCACATAACAAGGTTTTCTTGTGTAAAAAAGTTGATTCACTTGTGCCCCAAGTGAAATGTTTTCATTTGCCCTGAGGAGTTCCTTTAGTTCCTGCCTCTTTTGCAGGAATCAGTTACAACTGAAGTTGGATTTTACATTACAAATCCAGTACTGACATTTCTATAGATGCATAAATACTGATTTAGAAATACAAAAGTTGTAACTGGGACCAGAACAGATTTGTTCTTCTGTGTTTGAAGTAGGAGACTCCTGACATTAGAAAAAATTAAAACCAGATTTCTTTGGTTTTGTTTCACGTTTTGTCTTTTACTCTAAATGGATCTCAGTTACTCATGAACAAATAAATATGGCTTGAGATTTCTAATAAATCGGAGGTTTTGGAGCAGCATTGCAGCGTCAGCAGGGAAACGAACCACTTCTCTGTTTCTAAAACATTATTTGGTGCGTTCTTGGAGTAACAGAGGGTGGGATTTGGTGACTGGAAGATTTCTTTCGATGTTACAACGCTGCATGTCTGAAAAGGAAGTACTATGTCACTTATTTTATTAGGTTTGGAATAGTGATTAATTAAAATCCCCGTTTTAAAGTGATCAAGAGTAAATTTAGAAATGCTTCTGCACAGCTCTGTCTCTTCAGGGAAATGTAAGCAGACCAGCAGGGGGCCCTGGCAACAGGCTCTCGCTCTGACAGCACCATTAGTACGCAAACATGGCTGTGTTCCAACTTTCTGCTTAACTCTGTGAGCTGACGCTTACATAAATTGGATCCTTACAGATACTAAGTGCAGTGGTGATTGAGTATGCACACATAGCTTTGCTCAGTGTAGTCTGAAGACGGCTGAGGTTACAGGCATTGTGTTACCAGCTTCCAGTACTAATGCTGTCTTTTTCTCCTTCTGCCAGGGTCACATTAAAGGCTATATATCTCATCAGCATCAAAAGCTTGTGGTCAGTAAGCAGAACCCGTTTCCTCCGCTGTCAACAGTGTGTTGAGTGTTGCGTCTTATTCATGCAAGTGCTTTTCCGATACTCAGCTTGCCTAGTGGATACTCTCCTAATCGTCCCGAGAACATTGTAAATGACCTGGTTCATGTCCAGGACTGGAATACCAGGAACTGTTTGTGGCTCCTTTCCCAGAATGACCAAGGCTGCCGGTGTTACAAAGTGTGTTGGAATGAAATGCTAACTTTTCAGTGATGGTTTCCGCAGGCTTTCTAGATCATTCAAAGTATTTCATGAGGAAACAAAGCAAAGCATTCCAAATTCCTTCCAAACTACTTAAAGCTTTTATAAAGTACTTCGTGTTACTATTTCTGCATTTATCTTTCAGAGAGGAGAAGCATCATCCTTTGTTACTTGTGTTAATCCATTCTTCAGAGTGGAAATGATGTTTTCTTTCATGGTTTCCATTTTTTCTAGGTCTTTCCAATAATCTTGCTGATATTAAATACTCTCTTCAAGCTTTCTCTAAAAGCTTGATGCTAAAAGCTTTACTGTGTCAGTGATACTTAAGGGTTTAAGTATATGTGGGATTTTTGTCTGTAGGTGCCCACAGATGGCTATGGGGTTTCTTTGATTCTGGTAATTACTTGTTTCATTCTTATTACGATGAACAAAAGCTTATCTAAGTAACTTACTCATGCTCTGTTTTATTCTGCTTCCAGGGAAAACACTACCACTGGATCCATTATTTTAAGTGTTACTACCTTGGGGGTTTTGTTTGTTTAGGGGTGGTACAACATAACTTTGTCCATAGTGATGGGATGGTAGTTTGGAGGGTTTAAATTATTATTAAAGTAAATAAAACATTTTTTTCCCCCTCTTTGAGAGTTGGGTTTTATTTTGCTCTCTAACTGATGTGGACATGATTCATAAGGAAAAACACAGGTACCATGTGCACGGGGAAGCATTTTTTAAGTCCTACATCAACATAGACATTTAAAGGCTTGGAGTTCCCCTGGTCTTCATAAGTTTTACTTTTATGGATGCTGAAATAAGAATATGAATATTGAATCAAACCTCAGGGTAACAAGAATTAAAAAGACTCATTTCCTTCTAGCAGCATTTAAAATCCCAGAAAAACATCAATGCTTTTTCAGTTTTAGGATGAACAGCTCTAGGAAGTTCAGTCAGGTTTTAGTAAAGTAACTAGGTTTACTGCATCATGACTTTCACAGTACTGTGTGTCAACAGAAGAAGGAAAGACAAAGGGGCTTTACTGTATGAATTGGAGTTACATTACATATCATTATTGCAACTTCCATTGCTGCACATCGTGCTAAGAAAGTCAAATGGGTGTACTGGCTGCATCCAAACGTTTCCTTGCAGTAACTGGTAGGGGTTTGGTGCAGGAGGGTTGGTTGTGTTTGTGTCTTAGTTCATTTTTTGTTTAAGCCATACAATATACCTTGCGGTGTTAGTGAATAGGAAAGTTTCCAAGTCAGCATCCTCTAGTGGCCAAGATCCCAGAATACCAGTCAGAAACCAAGTGGCCTTATATTTGGTAGCTAAAAAGCTTCCTCCAGCCAGTTGTTTGTCTACAGCCTCCTGGAGGTGTCCACAAAACTGCCTGTTTGTGAGGCTCATGTTGAGTATTTGTTTGCACTCCTCAGTAGGAAGGTATGAAACCTGCAACTCGTCACCTTGAAGTTCATCACCTTCCATCCTCCAGCCACTGACTGTACCAGCCAATTTTGGAATTAGAACATGTTCTGCAAAGTCTCTTTCAGGGATGCATACAGGAAGCTGGTGGGTGTTGCACTCAATGTGCTCTTGGAGTTCTAGTAATGCAATGTTGTTTTCACCAGTGTCTTCATCATACCGGATGTGTATATGTTTCTCATTAACTTGCATGATCTTCTCAGTTCCACTGGTTTCATTATGCCCTGTGAAGCAATGACATTCCACCGCTCTTAGAAATAATTTATCAGAGACCTGAAAACTGCATGCAAACTGAAAACAGCTGCCTAGTCCTGCTGAGAAATACGTGCACTAGAGAAACTAAGGGTGCTCTTTCTTGAAACAGCTGCAGTAAAGGTAAACTAGGGATGATATCTTGCCAGCTTTTTAATGCTGTGTAGAAGCATGCATAATTTCAGGGGGAAGGACAAATACCCAACAAGAGAGGTAAATTTTGGCATGAAACCATTTTTTTCTGGGTGGGGGGGGAGAGGGGAGAGGGGGAAGCCACTTCTAAATCCACCTGGTTTAGCTTATCCCTAGGTGCTCAGTTGTGAATTGCATTTGAGAGGTAGATACCTCTCTGCTTGCCTTGTAGAGGGGTGTGGGACAGCTCTAGTTCTAGCTCAAGATACTTGACTGAGATGCTTAAAGGGGGTGACAGCAGATTTGTTTCCTCTAACAATATTTTTATGCAGCAGAAATTTTAGTAAGCTTTTTTAAAATTAGCTTGTCGATACTAAAATGTGCTACAACAAGAGAAAATGTGTTTGAGCACCTACCAGCACCAACCCTGATTTCAAAATGGTGGTGCAGAAGGGCGCACTCTGCTGTAGTCAATACAAAATTACTCTTCAGGAGCACTCCTCCACAGAAGCCCTTCCCTTCTGAGTTTAGCAGCAGGACCTAAGAAAATGCAAAAAGATGATAGATAGCACTATCCACATGAGGTTGAGTGGTGGGTTTCATGAATTGCTAGAAATACCTGCCATGGAAATCGCTCGTCATGTTTCTTCCTGGTTTCGCTTATCAGATTATCCCTGCCTTGAAGTCTCCCACATGCACATTGATCTAGCAAATGAATTAAAAAAAAAAAATCAAAACCTCATGCTGTATCATTTCAAGAAATCTAATACCTGCAAATACCTTACTGCTTCCACGTTGACTTTGAGGGTTGTTCTGTGCACCAAGGAAAAGGACAGTATCTCACTTGGCATCTGTAGTCTAATAGCTTAGGAGTGGCACTGAGCATTTTGGGTCATTGCGTTAGGCTTGTGGTGACCAGATTTCACTGTATCTGCAATAAGACTTCCTCTGCAGCCAACCATCACCACCAACTTGCTTCCTCATCTTTGTATCTGGTATCTGAATAGTGCCAAATACCTGATAGCTGTGGCCCGATCAGGACAAGGTAATCCTGGGTTTTCCATGTTCAAGCTGTCACTCTAGAGATGTGCATGTCTTTGTGCTCTGGTTCAGACAGCAGGAGTGCTTCTCAGGTGGATGCCCTGGTTATCTGCATTTATCACATTTTCTGTTCACCCTGTGGCATGGTCTTGGGTCACACAAGCTGGATTCTGTTCAGGTGAAGCTAAACCAGAAGACACCCTCCAGGAGTGCACTTAACGTACTCTCATAGCTAATGGGTGCTTAGTCCACAGGACCAGACTAAAGCTAGTCTGAAGGAAAGCCCACATGAAATGTGCATTGAGTGTGAACATCAAGCCTTCACCACCGAAAGTGTGGCTCCACAGCTCAACTCCTGTGTGGTTGCCCTACTTGCTAATATAGACAAGGGCCTAAGTATACTACTGTGGTTTTAGTAGACCTAGTTTATAAGGGGATGAAATTGAGCGAGATACCTAGTATGAGACTAGAGGAGAAGAGGGCTACTGCTTCAAACTAATTAACGTGGCAGCAAATGTTTCCCTTCATTTATCAGACCATCGTGGTGCCTGAGGGGATTCAATTGAACCTCATTCCTAAACACACAGGTCTTCAGTGGAGTTACTCTTCACCAAGCATAGGAGTGGAAAACCTGGCCCAACGAGTGATATGTAGGATGACACAAATCCTCTCTGCAGATCCATGTTTAAATGGTCAGGTCAAATATTGCTGCTTTTTCCACTGCTCTGTCACCTTGAGTGGTGGTCCCTAGATTCTTCCTTTTTCTGCCCAGTTTGGAAGGTTGGTAATATTCTCAGCCCTTGAGTCTCCAAGCAGGCTGATTGCATCTGGAGATCAGATGGTGGCCTGCCCCTCTCCCAGCACTGAGCGTGTGCCCCCCCGTACTTCCATGCTCACACCTACCTAACGCGATGCACTGTTTTTTGTCCTTCCCGAGCTCATAGCCATCAGCACAGGAGCAACGATAGGAATTACTTCCCGGGTAGCAGAAGTGGTGACATCCTTCTTTTGCTTGGTGGTGACACTCGTTTTTAGCTAGAAAGAACAAGCGGCGGAAAAGCGTGGGGAACAGTTCAGCTGGAGTTTCCTTGCACAGCTCAAGTTCTCTTTACTGAGCATTTTATGTTTACTCGCTTTGGGGACACACACAAGCACACAACTCTGGCTTGGTGGTATTTCCCACCACATTATTTTTCCCCTTGTTAAGCAGAAATTGGAGACAGCTGAGTCTCTGCAACTTCCACAGACGCATTGCGATGCGCTCACCCAGCACCAGCCTGGCTGCACCTCTGGGTTTTGGGGAATGTTAGTAGCCAAGGGTCAAACCAGGCCTTCCATGTGAACCCACAGGAGGATGCCACGGGTTTTCTTTCTGCTCTTTTAAATGAAACACTGAGTGTCTCTGCCGAGGGGAGGGGGGGACTGTTGCACATGTTAAGGAGGCAGGTATTGCTTGAGGAAGAAAAAGGCTGAGGCTTTCTGCTTTTCAGCAAAAACAAATGCATAGCTCCTATTTCTCACGCTTGTGCTAAGAAAATTGAAATTAACAGCTGCCAAAGACAGGCAAAAAGAAGGGGAGTATTAATCACCTTTGAAACACGCTCAGTTCGCGTTCTGTAGCTGAGCAAACCCTTAAGCTTCAGCACAAAAGAGGAGGAACAGCCATGTGATGGTGGATTAAGCTCACGGATGGAGAAGCAGCAAAAAAACCCGCATAAAGTCGCTTTCTAAGACTCCTGCTGAGCAGATCTAGTTCCCAGTGCTGGCCCAAGCTGTGTCACCTCCTGCGCTCCCCGAGAAGCTGGTCTGTCTCTGTCCTGTCACACCCCTTATACAGAAAATGACCCTGCCTTGCGGCAGCCAGGGCGTCTCCCACCTCAGGGGACCTGAGAAATACTGATGTAAGGGCTGGAAAGTAGAACCTGGCAGATGTAAAAATGTAGGATCTGGCCCAGGGTGTTTCACGTGCCAGAAAGCGTCCATTTTGCTTCACGCCTTTTTGCACTTCCACTGGAAAATGGTTTGTTTTCTGGAGTCCCTCTGTCCTGAGGGACTGTCCTGTGGGTGCAGGTGGCCTCCAGGGCACCAGGGTGGCTGGGAAGCCACCACAGCCCTGGTTCTTCAGGCCACGTGCTGCCTGGGACCGCGGCAGGGCAACCAGCCGGGGAGCCTGGGTGGCAGTGGGCACCCACCCGTGAAGGGGACTTGCTTCAGCCCTTTTGCTGCCTCCCCAGAGAAGGGAGGCTCAGGGGGAAGGGGCAGCCTGCGTAACCTTGGGATGCCATAGCGTTTCAGTAGGCAGGCAGCACAAATCACCCCTGCTCTGCCAAAAACTGCATGTTTCATCCTAAAAACTGGTAGTTGGCTGTAATGGAAGAGCTGCGTATGGTTTCCTGGGGACCCCCTACGACAAGATAGATAGGGCTTCTCAGAAAAGGGGGGCGACGCCTTACCGAAAGCACAGTTCTCTCCCTCGTAGCCCTCGGCACAGGTGCAGGTGTAGCCGCGAATGCTGTCCTCGCACACGCCATCGTGCTGGCAGGGGCTCGACGAGCACATCCTGCCGCCTGCAGAAATGCCGCACGAGAGGGATGGGTCACCACCGCCGCCGAGCCGAATTGCGCAGCCCCCTTCCCAGAGCACGAGCCGCTCGGAGAAGCATTGCAAAAAGCAGTTTGGAAGGAAATGGGCGACGTCTCACCGAACTGAGGAGCAATTTTAGCTCCTCAAGGAGTAATTTTAGCTCAAGTCTCGCCTTCCAGAGGTGATCCCTCAGCCCCTGGCAGGGAGGCCGAGAGGTGCCCAGAGGCAGAGCCCATTTCTGGAAGATGGATGCTCTGCTTCAGGGAAAAGCACTGACTTACAGTTCATGTGCTCGTTACGAATGTAACACAAGACTGATGTTTTAGGTCTCCCATGTTAGGCTTAAATAAAAAAATTATTAAATGCATATGTGGATAAAAAGAACTGGAACCAAAATTATACAGAGAGCACCACCAAACTAGGAGGAAATCTGGCTTTTACACATCTGTACAATTATTGTACAGCAGCTTGGACACTAGCAAGCTTAGTCTTTCTGACAAACTGAACATTGAAACCAGAGGATGCCTCAATACAGGTGAAGCACCAGGCAGAGCTGCCAGTTTCCCTTTAAGCTGCCCACTGGAAACACTCCAAACCAGTTTGGAAATGTTCTCCAAATAACTGCTTACCGTAGACATGAGCAATCAGGGAGCAAGCCAAAAAAAGCTTGACCTGGAACGTGCTGTCGAGAGGGATGGGTCACCATCGCCGCCAAGCCGAATTGCGCAGCCCCCTTCCCAGCGCACGAGCCGCTCGGAGAAGCATTGCAAAAAGCAGTTTGGAAGGAAATGGGCGACGTCTCACCGAACTGCTCCTCAGGAGCAATTTTAGCTCCTCAAGGAGTGATTTTAGCTCAAGTCTCGCCTTCCAGAGGTGATCCCTCAGCCCCTGGCAGGGAGGCCGAGAGGTGCCCAGAGGCAGAGCCCATTTCTGGAAGATGGATGCTCTGCTTCAGGGAAAAGCACTGACTTACAGTTCATGTGCTCGTTACGAATGTAACACAAGACTGATGTTTTAGGTCTCCCATGTTAGGCTTAAATAAAAAAATTATTAAATGCATATGTGGATAAAAAGAACTGGAACCAAAATTATACAGAGAGCACCACCAAACTAGGAGGAAATCTGGCTTTTACACATCTGTACAATTATTGTACAGCAGCTTGGACACTAGCAAGCTTAGTCTTTCTGACAAACTGAACATTGAAACCAGAGGATGCCTCAATACAGGTGAAGCACCAGGCAGAGCTGCCAGTTTCCCTTTAAGCTGCCCACTGGAAACACTCCAAACCAGTTTGGAAATGTTCTCCAAATAACTGCTTACCGTAGACATGAGCAATCAGGGAGCAAGCCAAAAAAAGCTTGACCTGGAACGTGCTGTCCAAACCTTTCTAAAATTTAAAACTTCATCGGAGAGGTTAACTTCAGCCAGTGGGCTGCCGTAATTGATATCAGGGACAGAAAGGTGAAAACTCTGCCTGGGAAAAAAAACCCAACCTCCATCCTCTTGAGCTATGGGCATGTGTATCTTTTAGCTTTAGAGGTATAAAATACTGGCTTAAAGAGGTTAACACCTTCAGCCCACCTGCAGTCAGATGCCACCAGCATACCCCAGCACAATTTAAATCTCCTGGGAGGGTTTTTGGGTGGGATGGGGGTGTCTCATCAGCACAGCTGAGCAGGTAGGGTTGACGAGTGAGGACCTCCAGCAGCAGTGGTGGGGAGCTGGAGCTAGGGAAGGGCTGCACCTACAGCCTGAAGCAAGTTAGATGGTTTCAAGCCTCTGTAAACGCATGCTCAAATATGGAGGAAGCCTCAAAAAATGTCTGGGGTCAGATGAGGTTCTGTAAGACTGGGGAAAAAGTAAACCTGTCACCTAGCTTTATTAAAGGAGGGAAGAGAAGATTCAAGGAATTACAGAGAAATGAGCACAATTTCTGTTACTGGAAAGCTATGGGAATGGTGAAAGAGTTTGTAAGCACCCAGCAAAATAAGAAGGTGGTAAGTAGCAACCAACATGCATTTTTCAAGATCAAATAATCCAAACCAATTAAATCTAATTGTATTATAGATAAGGGACCTAGTAGGGGATGAGTGAACACCATAGAGTAGAAATGCCTCAGGTGACTTTGTCATTAAGCAAGCTGGGAAAACACAGACTGCTGTAAGGCATGCACAAAACTGTTTGGAAAATAATGTTTACAGAGAGGTTATCAATAGTTAAGTTTGCACTGTTAATAAAACAGGGTCAGGGACAAGTGTGACCTCAGGCCAAGTGCCTTGACAGCGCACATCCACGCTAGAGCATGATGCCGCTACGTCAGCTTTGACTTGAAGAGATCAAGGTGGAGCAGGGCAAAACAGAGCCAAAGCGTGACCCAGCAGTTAGATGGGTGCTCAGCCTTTCTCCCTTCCCTCCTTTTATTCACAATGCAGATTTACCCACTGTACCCTGGACTATGGAAGAAAAGCAACATGGGTACCAGAGGTCTAGAAAATGAGATTTTTGGAAGACAGGATGAGAAAATGGGTTTGTTTAGTGAGGAGGAAAGAAGCCATGGAGATGCACAGCAGCACTCTTCAAAATATTAGAAAAGATACCACAAAGAAGAAAACACATGCTGCTGTTCTGTAGGAAGAAGGCAGGAGATAATGGCTTTTAATTACAGCAAGGAAGCCACCCCTGAAGCCAGTAATGCATCCTGATCATGGCTAAGCTGGTTTGGATGGACTATTCCCAAACAGTTGCCCTTCTCTCTTCAAAGGCTAGAGAGGAAGCCTGCATGACATGCTTAGTACAAACATCCGATGACTGAAATCAGAAGTCAATCCCACCCTCACAGAAGTAATGAAAGGCCAGGTGTTTAGCATCATTCTTCATAATATTTACATCACTGATGGGCTTCTTCTAGGTAGCGGTTCCCTGAACTCAGTGTTTTAGTGGCTTCTGCAGAAAATTAATACTAACTGCTGGTTTTGCTACCTCCTTATCGACTGTCTAAACCTAAGATTAGAAATTAATAACAGCTAAGTAAAAAACCAAGAAGAAATCTTAGGACAAGGCATGCGGAAAAGAGGGAGGACATAAGGCACAGTCACTGTAAGCTGGTGCCCCAGCCTCCTCGTTCAGCCGGCATCTAGTTACAGCAGCCCCTCAGCTTTTGCAGATTCATATCTGGCCTTGCCAGCTGCCAAGGGATGATGCAGTGCCAGCTTCCAGAGTTTGCAGGCAGCCCAGTAGCTTTTAAGACCTATTTATCTCACTCAGGTTTAAGTGCTGGGTTTGTATTTGGGAGGTTTTGCTGGTAAAGCTGTGCTGCCCTATTGTATCAGCAAAGCAGATTTTTTCAGGTCCCAGCTTGTTTCGGTACAGCCTTAAGTTCAGGGAAAGGAATAATTTATTTACTATGATAATATCTACTCACCTTCAACTTTTTTATTCACTTTGCAATCTTAAATGTTTTTTCCTATTTATGTTTTTTTTTAATCCTTTCACATCAAGTCTTTTCCTCCTGCTTTACTACAGACACGACAAACAGTGACTGGGTGTTCCTTGCAGGATAAACTGCTAAAAACTCTCAGAAAACCAGCATTGGACTGAATCACAATATTCATAGTATGACACTGCTATGAAGAAGAGAAATCAAGAGGTCAGCTTACCATAGTAGACATCCCAAAATATTTTCTGAAAAAAAAAAAAAAAAGAGGGGGGGAAATTAGATTTTAATTCTCGAGTAATATCATCTTCCATAAATATTTTGGTAAGGCAAAAACATTATATGAGAGAATATCTACTACAGTTTAACATTTACACAGTTGCACGACTGCAATATTCTGCCCTGTCAGCAAAATTTGAATGAGACGGGAGGGGGTTTGCATCCTGCTCATTTTATTGTTTCTTAAGAAGCTGTAAAGGAAAAGAAACACTTTACAGGCAAGAGGGAAACAGCCGAATCCTTTAGCAATGCAGCTTCCTGGAAAAACTGGCCGGCCATCATCTCTCTGGTGTGCAGTGGCCTGGGAAGTGACCCCGTCCTGTCCCATCTGGCCTCCCTTGTCCCCAGCAGGTGCTTCTGGAGGCAGAGGGGACAGCAGAGCTGCAGGTCACCAGCATTGGTCACCACCCTCATCTGCCCTGCTCGTCCCTGGGTTCTGCAGCTGGATCCACTGGTGCTTTCCCCGAGGGGACACAGACTCACAGACTGGCAGGGGTTGGAAGGGACCTCGGGAGATCATCTAGTCCAACCCCCTGCTAAAGCAGGCTCACCTAGAGCAGGTTGCACAGGACATCGTCCAGGCGGGCTTTGAATATCTCCAGAGAAGGAGACTCCACAACCGCCCTGGGCAGCCTGTTCCAGTGCTCTGTCACCCTCAAAGGGAAGAAGTTTTTCCTCATATTCAAGTGAAACCTCTTATGCTTCAGTTTGTGCCCATTGCCCCTTGTCCTGTTGCTGGGCACTGCTGAGAAGAGTCTGGCTCTGTCCTCATGACATCCACCCTTGAGATATTTGTAAGTAATTTTGAGATCCCCTCTCAGTCTTCTCTTGTTCAGGCTAAACAAGCCCAGCTCCCTCAGCCTTTCCTCATAGGGGAGATGCTCCAGTCCTCTCCCCACTCCCTGTACCTCCACCTCCGTCAGCTTTCCCCAAAGGACTGGGATCACCCATGGGCAGCCCAATGGCTGTTTCCCCTGCTTTCCCTGTAAACAGTCTCCGGACAGATTCCCATTGAAGAGCACAGCATCAGGCCAAATGTGCCAGAAGGGCCTCTTCTACAAGGAGACTCGTGGCCTCTTTCTATAGGTCCCACTACTCGCTGCTGCATAGCTTCCCTCCAACCCAGCACCCCCTTGCCCCTCCTGGTCCCTATAAGGGATGCTGAAGCTGTATTTTCCATGTGTGGTCAGGATGGGACAACAGCCATGTGCTTCCACAACATAAGGCTCAGGACACATCATTTTCAGAAGAGGACTTTAAAAGTATCAGAGCTGACCTCTGCATTTCCATTTTGACCACACTTGCGTTCTACCTGATGGGGTGCAAAGCGCAAAGGTTTCACATAGAGAGAAACCCAAACAAACGAGGCGGCTGCGGGGCTGAATTTGATAGAAAAGGACCGAGGCAGTAATTTTTAATACCCACACAGGTAAACAAAATACTTACAAGCATTTCATCATTTTCAAATACTTCTCTTGCTTCTTCATGCGTACATCGCTCTTCAAGGCATTCCCTTTCCAAGCTACCTTGGAGGACCTCCTCCAAAAGTAAGGAACTGGCACGCCTCTGCCTCTTGATAACTCTGTTTGCATCGTCAGCCGATAGAAACACTGAAATGTTGTATGACAAAATGCTAATATCGGTACTTATATTCATTTCCTTATACACTTTCACCATTTTTCCCCCCATTTTTTTACAAGATCTTATTAAGCAGCTGATTTTAATCATGAAGAAAAACCTTCTGGCTGATGCAGGGTTTCAGGCACGTTAAACTCACATACTGAAAGAGCCCTACTTTCTTAGCCCAAACTCAGCTGAGGAGTCGTGACCTTTTTCTTTTGGGGAGAGCCTGACCTGCTCCCAAGCAGAGGGAATTTGAAGCCCTTCCTAACGCATTTTTTTCCTGCACCAGACAGACAGAGCAGTGTTGCGGGGGCACGGCCAGGGAAAAGGGAAAAGCTTTATCATAAAGGCAGAGGCTATTTTGTAAGACTGCAGGGGGCTTTCAGACTTGTCAGTAGAAGTGAAAATCATTTGTATTAATTTATGATGATGGACCCAAACTGATGCCCTTCAGTCTTAGTTCACAGGGATTTTTTTGCTGAGTAGCAATAGCGTGACATGGCTGAGTTCTCAATCAAATCTCTCTTAGAGAGAATAAATAAAAGCTACCCCTTGGCAGTGCTCAGTTATGAGGGGTATATCATATACCATCCTTTACCATCTTTACCATCCTTTACCATCTTTAGGGAAGACACCATAATCATTTTGATTTGAGTAAAGAGGAGGAGAGATCAAAGGCAGGAGAGTTACCAGAGCTTAAAACTCCTCTTTGCAATGATGCCCGCAACAAAAATTGCCAGCCAGCCAGACGGCCAGTGCCGTGCTGGGGCCTGTGGCCTTTGACGTTTAGCAGTATGTGGCTGCGGGCATTTGTCAGATCTCCTGGGCTTGGAAAGTAAACCTGCTGGGGAAGGGACTGGTTTTTTTTTTTATTTTATTTTATGCAGAATTTGGGGGCCCAGCACTGCTGGGCACAAAGGTTGAGATAATCGATAATATTAGAGTTGGAAAAAGTGGCGGCAGTAACAAAATTATTCTGAAACTGCATACAAGCACTTCGTTATGCTTTTGAAGGATATCTGATAAGCAACAGACTTGCATGTGACATTAAAAAAGAAAAAAGAAAAAGTGTCATGATTGTGTTTTGCATTTTAAAGTGCTGTCTGACACCCCAGTGCACGTTTCTGCTGTGCAGTGGTTCTGACACCTCCAGCATAACTGGCAATGCGCTTCTGCTGCTGCCAGGGGTGTTTTGACCTCCTGAAGCAGTCACCATCTTTTTCTTCCTTGCTCAGCTCCTCCTTAATATTGACAAACCATGGAGGATTAACACAGAAACATAAATTTCTTCAAAATGTAGCAAACATGCATCTCAGCCTCTTTCTTATTTTTTATTTCAGCAGCCACTAGAAATATATAAAGCAAAATTCTCTTTACTATCTGGGGCACTCTTTAAGAATGATAAGAAAAGGCAAAATATCACCCTGGTGTAAGTGATGGTAATTCAAAATTACATTGCCTTAGTAACCTGCTGAAGTTTTTACTTAGCTATATGAAGAAAAACCAAAACCCAAACAAGCAGGAGAAATGCAAGGAAAATAAGGAACAGTTTTCAGTGCTGCCACCCTGTGCTACGAAGTGATCGCGATACAAGGTACAAAATCATCGGTGTGTTTCGAAGAGCAGTAGCACAAATCAGAATTAAAGCTGCAACAAAACAAAGGCCATACCTGTCTGCTCTGTCTGAAGGGAAAGGGCAGAGAGAAGGAACAACATTGTCCAAGAGCACCTTGCCATTGCCACCCTCTCAGCCTAGTGGCTGCCTGCCCGCATTCCTACAGCCTTTGGGGGAAACGGCTACAGGAGAGGTGTCGAAGTTTAAAGTCCAGCTGCTCATGAGAAAACAAAACCTCTAAGGGCAAAGCCTGGCCTCAGTGTCAACACAGGAAAAAAACAAGCAAACAAAAAAACCCACCAAACCAAAAAACCCAACCAAACCTTGCTTAGTGGTGTGACAGTGCCCTGCCCTTAGCGCGTTGGCTGAAGGTGGAGCAGGTTTGCCAGTTCTGCTGAGAGCTGCTCCAAGATTTGGGTATTCCTCCCACCCCCCAGCCTGCATTTGCTGTAACGCAGAATGGGGAGAGATGAGCAGCATGCATGTTTCTTTGTACCTTATCAAAGCACAAGCTGGATGCTGATGACAGGGATCAGTTTTATGGGGTAGCTCTTTCACACACTGTCCCCACAAAACATTTGCCAAGGCTTAGCTGCACTGGTCAAACCCCGTCAGCTTTTGGAGCAACCAAGCATGGGATTTCCCCTGTGGGGATGCATCTGGACGGATATGGCATTTTTGTTTTTCACTGTTAGGTTTGTACTGCCCAGCTGTGAAGGAGAGCACAGGAAACTCCCCCTGACTTCAGGATTCCGGTCACACATGGAGTCTGTGAAAGGAGGTGCAAGTACTCAGATTAAAAAAAAACCCCACACTTCCTCTCACTGGGTGTTGCTCTGGTTGTAGAAATGGTTTCCTGCTCTTCCTAGGAGCCTGCCTGGCCTGGGACAAGGGAAGGATCCAAGCGTTGGTGTGCACGGGCTGGGCTCTGCCATGGCAATGGTGCTGCAGGGAGGTTTTTGGCTCCCAGCACAGGCAAGCTCCTAGGAAGAGCAGGAAACCATTTCTACAGTCAGAGCGACACCCAGTGAGAGGAAAAGTGGTTTGTTTTTTTTTTTAATCTGCATTAGAAACATGGAGCCCATTCTGTGTTTTCATGTCATAAATTCCCAGATATTATTTGACTACGCAAATAATAAAATCAATTCCCAAATAAAACTTCACTTTATATCAACTGCACTTTGTAAAACCAGCTTCAGTGAGTACTGAGGCAGATGAGCAGGGCTGAAGCAGACCACGTGCCTCACCAAGGCCAGGCCCTGCCAACCCAGGGCCGACATTGCAGCTCACATCACGGGCCTTAATGCCTTCAGCAAATAATTAACCTCCACATTGAAACTGCATTGTGGGAGGTTTTTCCTGCACAGTCTCTGCCGGGATGTTGTTCCGGAAGTTCACTCGGAGTTAAAACCATTCTAATATCAAGCTTGATTCTATTCACAGCCAGTTCATAACCTTACATATTTATTTTTCCCTCCTTGATATTTCTGCAGAACTAACAATATAACCTCCCATCCTCTTTGGTTAACTGTGTGTTGAGCTTTCTTTAGTAAATGAGCTCCCTGTGCTCTCCTCAGCCCCCCGAGGCCACCAAGCCCCATTGTACAGGTCCCAGCTGGGGTGTTCTTGGCTGGGGAAAGGGGACAGGGGACTCTGCTGCCAGTGGTCACATCTGGTGGGTGCTGGGGGGCTCAGCCAGCACCTCGTGCACCCAGGAGCTGCTGCGGAGGCTCACCTCACCCTCCTCGCCTTGCATCGCAGGGGCTGCGTTGGTTTTCCGTGCTCCTCTGGCCCACCATCCTCACAGGAGCCCCCGGCAGTGAGGCTGCTGCTGTAGCCCCCCCTGTGGCCCCTGCCTGCTTGCCTTTACCTTCCCGTGATGAGGAATATCACCACCCTTTGCATACGCAGGATGGCAAGTCTGGCTCCCTTCGGCATGAAAAAAAATATGTCACCACTTGATGTCAGCACAGGACTTTGCAGAACCCAGCACTAAAATGCAGATCCGAAGATTTTTTTTTAATTTTTTTTTTTTTAAACAAGCTGTTTACAGTTTGCAAACCTGTGTCAATTAAGGAACTCTTGTAGGTATAAGGTGATTATTCAAATTAGGTTAATAACAACACCACAGAGCTTCAGAAGCTGTATTTCCACCAGAACTTAGTTTACACAGTCATTTTTTTCCTACTGTGTTTATTTTAAACAAAGTATTCCTCGACTGAGCAGCGGTGTCCTTGGGGATGGGCCGCGGTGTACTCAGTAGGTTATGGCACTGACTTGGCTTTTTCTGTGTGGGTATTATTGCATCAGGTCTGACCTTTTAATTTTCCTAATATTACGGAAAATTGCATAAAGCGGGAGTTTTAGAAGGGCAGTCCTATCCTCACATCTTTCTTTATAAAGAGTTGCTGGGATTTCTTTTTCCACTCCTTTAATTATTGCAGTCAGCATGTGGAGGGGTGTTTCATTAAGGAGCCCCGCACCCCTATTTCCAGCAGCCCTGCTTAAGGGTTGCCTCCTGCTTGAACCCTTTGCAACATGAAGCCTGCACGATGTGAAATCCGCAGTTCCTCAGGGAGGGGTAACTGGGTTAGCTGGTCCTGGTGCTTTAGCAACTGGTTCTCATGGAAGTCCTCCCCACAGCAGCGCAGGGAGCCAAGGAAAGTGGGTTTGCAGACCAGCTGCCCAAGCAGTGATGGGGCAGTGGTGGGGCAGTGATGATGGGGCGGTGGTGATGGGGCAGTGGTGGGGCAGTGGTGGGCTCATGCCAATGCCACCCACCTTGTGCCCCTGGCTGGCCATCAGC